GCTTCCTGATGTTGGCGGGCACAGGCTCGGGAACGTGTACGGGTACGGGCATGGGCACGGCTATCGATACGAGGCTAAAATGGACAAGGAAAGAAGTGGGGAAAAGTCAAGGAAAGAGAACCCAAGTATAAGCGCTGCCTCCGGATTTTCTGGAAACTGTCTTTGGCACACCATATCTTGGCTTTTCTCCTCCAACTTCTCACCATTACATCAGGAAGTTGATTCAACTCCCCCACCACCCTGGGTAACATTCCATCACTCAGCAAGCTGACCACCCATGTGCCATAACCCCAGTACCCCTGCTAGCATGTCTCCACACTCCAAAGCCTTGCCACCACTCCCATACCCAGCTCATACATGGCGGAGTTTCGGAGAAGCATGGGCTTTTGTCTGGTTGTATATCAGGAAGTTGAGCACAGCAAACTCCAACAGAGCACAGAAGCAGAAGACGAAGCAGATGGCAATATAGAAATCCAAGGCTGTGATATAGGAGACACGTGGGAAATTCTTACGAGAAAAGGTGCCCAACGTGGTCATGGTCAGAACAGAGGTGATCCCTGCAAGAGCACAAGAGTGGAGGTGGGCTCAGTTCCTGACCTATATACGACATAGGTTGAAGGACTCCATGACAAAGCAACTCTGCCCTGGCCCAGCCAATTCCCAGCTATGTGCCTATGCGTATACCTCTTTCTCCTCTTACCTAGAGAGGTCCGGGCTGGAGCAGACTCTGTCTTGATCCAAAAGGAAACCCAGGAGAGCATCGTGGTCACGGAAGAAGGGACATAGTTTTGAAAGGCAACATAGCCAAACCGCCTGCTCACATTGAAGAAAATCGTCATGACCATGAAGTCACCTGAAAGACACAAAAAGCATCACTGCATTACAGTGCTGACATAAGGGTCCCCCTTAACAGGACATGCACAGTAAGGGTCTCACTGTCCTGCTCATAGTATTCCCTAGGATAGAAGCATGATGTTACAATGCAATACATACAAATAGGATCAGAAGAAGCCCAGAAAAAAGACTTACTGCAAGACCAATGACCAGTTGAGAGCTAAGCCAAGGCCAGAATTTAATAGCTTCTTTCTCAGTTCACTGTCCCACACCCAATGTCTGTCTCTGTAGGTTGGCAAGAGAGTCAGGTGAAAGCAAAAAATCAGTTAGCCTTCTAGATATCATGCCCACACAGCTGATATCCAGATGGCTGACTGAGGGCTTCATATCCACTGAGGCACATCACACCTGAGCTGCTGGCTCTCAGAATGTCTACTCTCAGCAAATGAGACTAGGGAAGTCTGTGCTGTGGTGGAGAAGCACAGAATGCTTTCAGCCTCCTTTCTACACATTCATATGATGGCAAAATGCCTTAGTGAGTGAGCACTGCTCCACAGATGGTCAAAACCAGCACTAGCCTGCTCCCTAAGCTTTTGATGGCTCCCTGTTCCACATGAGCTATATAGACTCAATCCACACTCTGGAATCTGATGCTAAAGGCCCACCATGACCCGGCTCCAACTGACATTTTACACACACACCTTACCCAAAGCCAATCCCATCTGCTCACAGATTTCCTGAGATAGCCTGCAATTTTACACCAATATTCTATCCCTGGACTCTCTTCTCTTAGTCTATGACCCCTAACCCAAATTGAGTGTTTCAGGAAAAGAGAAGAATAAGCTTAAAATGAACATTTCAGTCAGCCCTCCAGAAATCCATTCTGTGGCGTACACATCCGCAGGGCAGACTGAGGTCCTCATAGTCACTTGGACATTGTGTCCTTGGTCATGGCTCTCAGACGGTCATGGTTCCTCCAGGACCTGATGACAACCTATATCTCTAGTTGGCGTCTTCTTTTGTACCATTCATGCTGCTTTATGCTCTGACACACCCTCCCCAAGCACTCTGCATGCTATCATGATTCCTGGGCTTGTGTGGGCTTTTCTCGGAGCCCAGGACATCATTTTCCACTTTCAGCATCACATTGGAGTTGCAATACTATAGAATTCCTAGGCCTATAATTAGGTGGGCTTTTAAGTCCCTTCAAGGCAGGGCTCATGCAGGCCCTGTGGCTTAGCCCCTGCCCATCCAAGGTCAGAACAGCCTGGAACGCAGCAGATACTCAGTAACTCTTGCTCCTGTCAGGCAACAGCTTTGTGAAGCAGACCAGAACACTAACCTGTCCGTGTGTCCTCCTATTTTGGAAAGTGGATCAACTGCCCAGCAGGTTTGGGTGGGCTGGAGCTGAATGAGAAGAGTAGCCTTTCCTACTCACCTTGGCAGCACTGAAACTCAAGGAGCAAGGCTTCTCAGATTCTTCTGGAAAAAGGCAAGGGAGCAACCTGTTGTCAGTGGGAAACCTGTGTGTTGAGTATACCTTTGGGATAGAACTCCTTCAGGGCTGCTGCACGGACCACCCTTGCACTTGCCTACTGGCCAGAACGTATTTATCAAAAGTCCTCTTGCCGTGGGATCTTGAATGCAATTTAAGACACTTCTAATTAGTTATACCCAAGCCCTGCAATATTGCTGGGTTTATATAATATATTCTTGTTGCAAGAAGATTTATTATTCTGTTGGATGATTCTATTTTAATTTTATTTATTCTGGCCAAAAAAGAACCTTTGCGGCTCGTCAAGAGATGCCAATTTGTCTTGAAGGACAAGAGAAAGATGCTAACACACATTTTCTACTTCTTCAGGAGTGAGAGAAGCACGGGTAGGGAAAACAATATACCTGGGGCTGAGGAACCAAAGCAAAAAAATATATGCTAAAGATGGTTTTCTGCTCGAACTCTTATCCTCTGATCAGATAATGGTTGGTCACTGCAGTGTCAGAGGGACACAATTAGAAAGACCATGTCCAGAGGACTGGGACTAGAAGAATGAATGGACCCAAAGCTTTGAAGAATAAGGGAAGAAAAATAAACTAGGGCTATGTAGATTACAACAGACTATGATCCATGCCAGGAATGATAATGCTGATCCTTTAATCTCGGCCCTGTGAAACAGTGGCTGAACTAATGTAAGCTGGATAGTTCCAAGGAAAAAGAACTAAGCCTAATATGTGGAACTTCCAGAGACTCAAATTTCAGATGAACAGGGAGAGTTTTCTAATGAACAGAACTGTCTAGAGAAGAAGGAAACCTCCTTGTAAGACAGTGGATTCCTGACCAGCAATAATATTCCATCAGAGGCTCCACAGCCATCAGTGAAGGACAAGCCACTCCCTGGAGGCAGGGCTGGACTCTCTTAGAACCTCCTGAAGCAGAGATTCTCTGGATCAAGGTCCAAGATGGCCAGAGTAGCAGGCTACCATTGCATTATGAACCCTTAGGAGCTGGGCATATAAGTATGCTCCAGATAGAGAGACCTGCCCCAGGGTCCAACTGGAAGAGTTTGAGACCAGTCCCAAAGATAACTCTGACATTGAAGGAACCATGTCTCAAGATCAACTAGTCTCCAAGCAGAGGAGAAAGAAGACTTCTTTTCTCCTCAAGAATCCTCCTCACTCCCAAGGAGGTCTGGTGCTTACCTACTGTCATCGCTTTGGTGATGATGCTGCCTCTGGGGCTTTGTAGTCACTAGGGCACCATTTTGAAACAATGCACAATCATCTACTAAACGGAACCACTAGTGACTTGAAAGCCCCTGGGCTTTATCTTCTCTGTCACTTTTGATGATGGGTACCCACCAATCTGGGAAAAACTGAGGTGCAGAAAGCCAAGAGGTGGGCCCATGGTTAGCTGGCAGAAGAGCAAGGTAGTAAAACTGCTTCCCCAGAGTCCCCAAGAAAAAAGGCAAGTATTTGTAAGGTAGCCCAGAGCTTTGCCCCTGCCTAATACTGTGCAAGCAAAGCTCTAGTCACATGAGCATGAGCTTTCCCTCAACCAGAGACTGACTCAACAAATGAAACAAAAGCAGATTTTCTGCCTAGTCACATGGTAGCAGAACAAGATGCTGCTCATGACAAATGGCTGGTTGGGTGACTGGCTCCATCCACATTCTGGAAACGATGAGGGCAGTGCCTTCACTGCCCTGAACTTGGTCAGGATGTGTGAAGACTGTTTCCAGGGCTGCTCTGGGAGCTACCCTGGGGAGGTCCCTTGGCTCCTCATTCAGATCACCTAGGAACATAAGTGAAGATGCTCACATCTAATTGGGAACTGAATATAAGATACCCAGGACCTTCCCCTTTAGTCTTTGTTAGAGAAAAGGTCAGAAAACCAGTGGTCACTATGCCTATGTTGAATCCACCATGAAGCCTTTGACAAGAATCTGTGCTTTTTAGACTTGTTCCTTTAAGATAAATGTCAATGCAGCAGCCACTGTAGCTGCTGTAAATTCCTCTAGACTTTCCCAGCCTTAAACTAGCTGACATTAGAACTCTAGCCTCCACCTCCCACTACAATGGACTTTACTTCCCATTCAACCAGATTGGATTGGTTCTGGGTGTGGAGAACTTATAGGAGCTCCATTCCCCAAAGTCATCCAAGAAGGTCAGTGTTGTAACCTTGAAACTGAAGGGTCTGCATGAAAAAGCCAGCTGCACATTCCGACAGCAGCAGAACTTTATCTACTTACCTAACCTCTCAAGGAGCTTGGCAAAGCATTTACTTCTTTGCAGATGAGACTGAGACATAGTTACAAAGTCTCAGTTTCCTCTGCAAACAGTTGTAAGTGCTTAGCAATTATAAGGCAGGAGCCATATCTTACAATATTTCCATGGGATGACTGCAAAGCATTCGTACGGATGGCCATCTCCAGTCATCCCTACCACCTTCCTGGACTTCCACCAAGCCCTGGCACACTTACCAACTGGGGTTGTGATTATTTCAGTTTTGTTGCTCACTCCTGTAAAATCAAATTGGAAGAGCTTCCAGGAATTTTTCTCATTGATTTCAAGCTTGAAATTTTCCCACTTGTAGATCATCTCATTCTCAGGATAGGAAACTGGAAAGCAATGTGAGAAAGAGAGTCATATGAGACTCAGAAGCCCACCTGAGGTCTCCAATAGCATGGAGTCAGCCTGCACAATGCCTCGGAGTCCTGTTTCTGGCCTTGCCAGCTGTGGGACCTTGCCTCTCCTACCTCATTGTTGAAGTCCATTCAATGAATGTGTTTACTGAGCATTCCTCAGTATCAGGCCCTGGGCTGGAAATACAGAGATGAGCAAGGCATGAACCCTACCCTTAAGCAATCACATTTAATTTTATAAGACAGTGAGTATACTACTGTGATTTTTGGAGGAGCTCTGAAAAACCTATGTCCACGGAACAGTGGGGAAACAAAGTAGATAAAGATCACTTGGGGACATATGCAGAAAAGACTTCACAAGGCAGGTGATACTCCCATTAAATCTTGAAACTCAAGTAAATATTCTCAATAAGAATGAGTTTGGAGGTGTTAAGGGGCAGCATAGAAAGGTGAACCACCTGGTGTATTGTGGAAAGGCCAAAAGTTCAGGATGGCTAGCTCACAGAGGATGAGGTGCACAGGATTGGGCGGCAGGGTCCAGTCCATGAATGGCCTTGAGGTTCATTCTAAGGAATTTCAAATTGATCCATGAGAGTTAACAGCGGATTTGAGACTAAGAAGTGACTCGATCTAGGTGACCCTTCAGCTAGGTCACTCTGATCCTTCTGTGAGGACAGCATGTTGGCAAGGAGGTTGGTGTAGCAATCCAGACAGAATTAAATTAATGCAGGTGAAGCTGTGACAGGGTGCAGAGAAATAGACGGCATCGACAGAGACTGGGAGGAAATACCAACAGGATGTGCTGATTGATTAGATGCAGGAGGTGAGGGACAGGGAACATCAAAGTTCTTGATTTGGACAACTGGGTGAGTGATGGTCCTCTTCAATGAGACAGATGGGAACCCAGAAGCAACACACTTGTTTTGGTGGTAGAGGTCTGGAGAAGACAATGAATTTCGTTTTGGACATGTGCAGTTTCAAAGTGAAGATGTGGCAAAAGTTCAAGTGGAAGATAACAAAGGCCTAAACCAAGGTAGTGCCAGTGGAGATGGAGAGGAGCAGCCATACTTGAGATACACTTCAGAGGCACGTGGAAGGGATGAGTAACACAGTATTGTTGGCAGGAAAGGAAATGAGGGTGGACGATGGAAGCCCTGCACAACTTGGCAGCATTTTAGGAGAAAAGCAGAGGCAGAAAAATGTAAATGGCAAGGATGAGAAAAAGAAGGAGCCCAGCATGTTTCTGGGGCCCCAGAAACCTAAGAAGGTACTCACAGCTAGAGAAAGATAGAGGGCAAGAGTGAGAATCCATTGGAAATCTGAGCATGTGGAGTGAGCATCCAGCATCAATGGTCATCCTGGAAGGGAGAAAGGAGCCTCATTAGGCTGGCCCTAAGCACTTCCGTATCCACCCAAGTAGTCTAAGGACTACCACCAATGAATGGCCGGAGTCAATTTTTTTGTTTGTTTGTTTGAGACGGAGTTTCACTCTGTCACCCAGGCTAGAGTGCAATGGCATGATCTCAGCTCACTGCAGCCTCTTGCCTACCAGTCTTAAGCGATTCTCATGCCCTAGCCTCCTGAGTAGCTGGAATTAGCACCAGCACACCCCGCTAATTTTTGCATTTTTAGTAGAGACAGGGTTTTCCCATGATTGCCAGGCTGGTCTCGAACTCCTGACCTCAAGTGATCTGCCCGCCTCAGCCTCACAAAGTGCTGGGATCACAGGTGTGAGCCACCATGCCTGGCCCTCAGTAGAATTTAAGACAAAAAGCTCAAAGGAGAGATAACAAGAGAGAAAACAAAACAAAACAAAACAAAACAAACAAGCAAACAAACAGCTTAGAACTATCTGGCTACTCTGGGCTCCATCATTAGAGAAACGTATGGACCAACTTCGATCGACTTTTGTTTTCTCGCCCAGCCTAGTTTCCAAGACCTGCCAACATCCTCCCTACTCTCCCCTACCTTCCTGCCCCTACATGCAATCTTCCTCTGCTGGGCATTCAAGTATCCAACCTGGTCTTAGGTACCTTTGCTACTACCGTGCTGCTGCTCTGCCTGAACAATTTCACCACTGTGGACGTATCTTTATATCCAGTACCCACTTAGGATGGAATTGTCTAGGTAATGCAGTCATACTGGCACATCCCAGTTGGGGGAGCTCTGGACTCGGAGCCAAGTAACTGGGTGTCAATTCCAGCTCTGCCACAAACTTGGTGTGTGGTTTTAGCAATATCTTTCTATTTTGAGGCCTCTATATCTGTTACATAAGGGGGCTGGGCTCATGGTCTAGGAAAGCTGGACAGGCCCTTAGAGGTATCATTCAGGATGAGATCTCTGCCCATAGATCTTTAGCTAAAATTATCAGAAGGGGAGAGGGAATTCCAGGAGGTGAGACTTCAGAGGCTTCACATACCTAATTGTGTACAACACCTTGCCATCCTTGTATATGCGGACCATCTGGTTGGGCATGGTGATCTCATGCTCGTGAGTCCTCTTAGAATTCCTAAAAAAGGTGTCCGGGATCCACAGCTGGCTCACCACATTGCCGTTCAAAACAAGAGACTCAAAGGTGTCGTTGTAACAGAGGCGTTCGTCGTACCAGGTCTGGGAGAAGATGATGTCAATGGTGTATTCCTGGTGGGAAGGACAGAAAAGCACATACTTGGGGATGAACAGAAAAAGGACATTCACATGCAAACATATTGTTTGCCAGTCCCTAACCTAGAATCCTAAAGGCGATGTGGTGAAATGTATTGAGCACTAGACCAGGAAGCAGGAGTGGGATGAGGTCCCTTTTCCCTGCTCAAAGGCTCTTCCAATGTCAGAACTAGAAGGGAATTCAGAGGTTACCAAGCCTAATGATCCCAAATGAGAAGTCAGTCATACCCTGCTTGATTACTGTGAGCAAGGGGAACTAGGTCCTCACATCATGCAGCAGTTAACACAATACTCACACAACTCAGGACAATAGAAAAGTTTGCCCTAAACAAAGCTTCCTACTACTTTCTCTTACAATCCCCTTTCTGTTCTCAGGTAACACATAGAGCAGGTCTAGTTTCAATTCCAGAGGAGAGATCTCCAGAAATGGTATATCATTGAATCTGTCTTTTTTCCACATTTCTGAAGTCACGGTGCATCTTACAATTAACACATATCTTTAATGGAGCATTTCTTATTTTTTCTTGATAGTGGCTTAAATTGGTTATGATCTTAAATCAGAGCCAACATTGAATCAAGGAAAGGCACCTGAAGGTTGCAATCTTGCCCTCCTGAGTCTTTTCTCTGGGGTAGACATTCATGACTAAAAGTTTTCGGCTTCAACAACCCAACCACTGGTTTTACCAATAGATCTGCAAGGATTGCACAGTCAACTGACAGTCTACTCATAGGCAACCCTTTTCACCAAAGTGTGGTAGTACTTGTTAGTACTTGGTCCATAGCACTACTACTCACTTTGTGCTGTGTTTATCCTACAAGGTCAACCACACATTTTAAAATGATTCCACACTTTGGGAAAGTGTTGCCCAACAGAATGGCAAGTGTGACTATGGTCCATGCAAATCTTACTGACATGGAGCAAATTGAAAGACACTACTGGATAAAACTGAAATCTAGAGCACCTTGCTGGTCACACCGTAGTCAAGACTACTGGATTAATGCAGTTGAATTAAGGAAGCCTATGGTCACTAGGTATACATGATCAACGTGAACATAACAATGGGATAGGTGAGATTTGGTAATCTTTAAAGGTACTGTTAGCTCTGATGTTACAGATTCTGAGGATTTTCATTAGCACATGTTTAAGGTTTGTGTGTCACCACAACTATCCAGTTGTTTTTATGTTTCCTTATAAGTGAGAGTAAGAGAACATTTCACTTAGGTAAGCAATAAGACAACATAGGACTGGATCACTAAAAATGACATGTCTGTACACTATGCCCACACTTGGAAATATAAACATGGAATTATGTCAAAATAAAAAAGATTAGAAAATACCCAGAAGACACTGACTGACACTACAGAAAACTGAATGTGCCCTACAAATAAATGATTTCAAGGTAATGTGGAGGCAAGGAGAACTGTTAGATTCTAGTGACAATTAGTGTCACTTTTTTTTCTGTAGAATTGTTTCCATTTATAATCAGAGTCTTAAATAAATGTTCTTGTGACCTTGGCTAAAACTTGCATCTTTCCCTGTTATCCTCTTTGTTAAATGGGAGACTATAAATAATTTGTAAATGCCCCCCACCTCAAAAAAAAACTGCCCTGTTTCCAGAGCTTACATTGAGACTGTCCCTTTACCAGTGGGCAAAGGCTCCATGCCATTCTGTGATGGGCTTATCAAGTAGATGGACTCTTTGGAATCCACTTAGGTTTGTACAGAGGAAGGCGGCATGAGTTTGGCTGTAGGAGTTTTCTATTTCCAGGTGTTCCAAAATAAAATATAATTCCCAACTAGGTCACTGTCTCAGAGGATAGATTTCATCTAGAAACAGACAGGCAATGGTGGCTTAATTCCATGAACTGGGCTCTTCATCTTATTGCTCCTGTGTAGGCTGTGATGCTACTCCAGCCAGGTCAACACCCTCTCAGTCCCCACATTTCCACAGTAAGTCAAACATCCCAGCTCAAAATTGTTTTAAAAATTTACAAGCACACACACCGTTGATTGCATACAGTGAAGTTTCCCCTTTCAGATTTTATCTGGGGAGCACAAATGTTAATTAACCCCAATCCTTCATTCTCCAGAATTACAATAAAAATGAAGTGTTTTGCAGGCCAGGCGCCATGGCTCAAGCCTGTAATCCCAGCACTTTGGAAGGCCACTTCTGGGAGGGCAGATCACGAGGTCAGGAGTTCAAGACCAGCCTGGCCAACATGGTGAAACCCCGTCTCTACTAAAAATACAAAAATTAGCTGGGCGTGGTGGCGGGCACCTGTAGTCGCAGCTACTTGGGAGGCTGAGGCAGGAGAATTGCTCGAACCTGGGAGGCGGAGGTTGACGTGAGCGGAGATCACGCCACTCTACTCCAGCCTGGGTGATGGAGTGAGACTCCATCTCGGGGGGAAAAAAAAGAAGAAAGAAGTGCTTTGAGTCACAAGAGAAACGTCTATTTAGTCTCATGTTCTTTAAACAAAGAGAATCTTTTTTTTCTTTCACTTATTTTTTTTTTTTTTTTACTTTCAAATAAGTGCTGTAAACTCTGAATGTGTGGTGTGTACGTGTGCATAGATATATCCATGATTTTTCGGTCTCCAGATATTGTCTGTCCCATAAAATGTTTGTTAAACATCAACAATGATATTTAATAGGAAGAAGCTAGAAATTTGCACCACTGGTGTTGAAGGGAGGAAAAAACCCTACTGCAATAGAACTCCAAGTAGCTCGAACAGCAAGTACCACAAGTAGGCCAAGGCAGAACTCTGAGTTATTTTAGAAATAAGGAAACTAAGGCTCTATAAGAAAGGGGGCTATCCAAAGTCACACAAATAGTCAATGGCAGCCTGGCCCTGGGATGGCTTTCACTTGCACCAACAATCTCTTTAGGTACCAAGGTCCAATTTTCTCTGCAGAATCCCTAGGTCTTTCCGCTGAGTTCTTCTGCATCAAACAATGCATACCCACAACCATGGAGGCAGGCACGGCCCTCAGGGAAGAAATCAAGAAAATCCCTGATTGCCTTTGCTGCCCAGGACAAAAGACTGTAAAAGCAGCCACCAAACTGCTGGGAGCCAACCATGGAAGGGAAGACTGAGAATGTTCCCTGGAGTAGGCCAGATAAGCAGACAGAAAAGAGCTGGCAGAACCTGGCTCCCATTTGTATGAGAGCCTCTGACCCCACCCTGCCCCACCTGCCTCCACAAATAGCCTTCCAAGTGTCTCTACAGTCCCAAGTGGCTGGCAGTTTAAACTTGGCCAGCAGAGCCTCCTTCATTCCCAGGCCTTGCGAACTGCTTGGTAGCCAGTGGGAAGCCTTTCCCTCTGCACTCACACTGTGCTTATGCTCTATGTTATGAAGTGTTCAAATGAGCATTTATTTCTATTTGACAATTGTAAGTTCATTACATATCAATTGATAACTAACACTTCACTTTTTCCCCAGTTTGACAAACGAGCTTGCCATGTACATCTCTTTTAGCTCAGCCGAAACTCTAGAAATTCAGGGTTTTGGAACTAGAATCAACTGCGATAATTACCACAGCAAGAAAAAGCGTTACTAACTATTGATGCTACAATGCGCAGTGATTCCCAGATTGTTCACTGCCTTTTAATCTCAGACTGGGTGTTACAAAACCGTGCACTCAGGTTTTCTTCCTGGAGGACAAGGCCTGCTTTCTACACAACATCTGACTGAAAGGTGTTGAAACTCCCCTCAAGCAGTTACACCAACCATGTACCCAATGCTGGGACTCACATTACTGAGAAGGCTCAGTTTCCTCAAATGTAAAACAGGGATCCATGTCCTAATGGCAGTTTTGGCTTCCATGCAGGTTGTCATGAGGATCCAAGGAGACAAGAATGTACTGGGTACTGGCCTGTTCTGTGACTGTGTGGCAGAGACATGCGTCCCCTCATTACCAAGTACACCACAGAACAGGGACCTCCCACAGCTTTAAAGAACTATTTGGAACCATGTAGAATGCAAGACATTTCAGGACAATTTAACACCACATGTGAGGGTTTAGAATTTTCAAGACACTTGGCTCAGGCTAAAGTGCCACCTTACTGGCTAAAGAAAATAAAGTTGTTGGCTCTTTTCTGAACGAGTCCTGTGTTCCATGCTAGGTTTGGTGACTGCTGGGTTATTAGACTATATCCTTCAAACATTGTCAGGTGAGGCCACTGCTGGCAGCATGAATAGCCATGGAGCAAGGAGAGACAGGGCATTCAGCTACTGTGAGTGGGGCTACTGCTCTGCTACAAGGGCTCTTGTAGATAGAAATTGATTTCCCAAACAGCAAGGAGATTTGAGTCACAAATTCTCCACTACTCTTCAACTTTACAGGATGCTCTATCTTACCCAGAAAGCAAACCAAGGCAACTTAGCGCCCTTTTCTCCATTTGTCAATGTGTGTGTTCTCTCCATTCTACCTAAGGAAATTTAGCCACCACCAATTGGGTGGAGATTGACATGTTAGAGAAGAAGGAGCAAACCAGCTTGTTGGAAATTAGACTGATTACTTCCAAATAAGGTTGGTAGTGCCTTAAAGTCAAGCCAAAGGAGCAGAGAACTAGAAGAAAGGAACAAATAAACGGCTATGCAAATTTCTGGGAGCCATGAGGTTACTGTGGACTGAGCACTATATTTGGCTTTTGGCATGCTAAAGAGGAGAGGCAGAGACTGCTGCAGGAGGCTCTCTGCCCAGCTAGAATAGCATCCTGAGCCACTTTCCCCACTCCTACACCAATGACCTGAAAGGGTCAACAATGACAACAATGGTGGGACCACAAGCCCTCAACCTCTGGTTCTTGCACAGAACTTAGTGTTTCTTAGTTTATAAACAATACTAGCAAAACTAATTGCTAAATTAATACCCATTTTTAAAAAGGTAAACTGCAACACAAAAAGGAGACTACAATTCTCATAGTGGTAAACACGCTAGTAGCAGCAAAAAGTAAATCTGATTATCAAGGAAAGAGTCAAAAAAAAGAAAACCCCACCAATTATAAAATGTAAACAGAAACTCAAAAACATCTATCTGCTCTTATGCTTCTGTTCTTCCTTGTTAGTTCTCAGCAACTCAATTCTAGGAGTTGCTCAAAAGAAGAACATCATCATCATGTGTAGCAGGCAGACTCTTAGATGTCCTCCAATGTTCTTCACTTCCTGGTGTTTGTGCCCTTCTGTAATCCCCTCCACTTGACTCTGGGATGGACCTCATGATTTGTGTCTGATAAGAATACCACAGAAGCAATGGGATGTCACTTCTAAAATTAGATTATAAAAAGCCTGTGATTTCAATCTTGAGCACCTTCTCTCATACTCTTCCTCACTCTGAAGGAAGCCAGCTACCATATTGTGAGCTACCCTGTGGATAGGTGCCCATGGCAAGGATAGAGGGAGACCTCCAGACCACAGCCAGAGAGGAACAGAATCCTGCCAATCCTGTGAGTGGTCTTGGAAATGGATCCTCCCTCAGTTGAGCCTTCAGATGAGACTCCAGCCCTAGCTGACACCTTGATTACAGGTTTGTTAGAGACCCTGAAACAGAGAACCCAGCTAAGCCATGCCTGGATTCCTGACCCACATGGACTGTGAGATAATGATTGTTTTTTTGTTTGTTTGTTTTTTTCTTTTCTTTCTTTTCTTTTCTTTTTTTTTTTTTTTTGAGACGGAGTCTCTCTCTGCTGCCCAGGCTGGAGTGCAGGGGCCGGATATCAGCTCACTGCAAGCTCCGTCTCCCGGGTTTACGCCATTCTCCTGCCTCAGCCTCCCAAGTAGCTGGGACTACAGGCGCCCGCCACCTCTCCTGGCTAGTGTTTTGTATTTTTTTAGTAGAGATGGGGTTTCACCGTGTTAGCCAGGATGGTCTCGATCTCCTGACCTCGTGATCCGCCCATCTCGGCCTCCCAAAGTGCTGGGATTACAGGCTTGAGCCACCGCGCCCAGCCATGATTGTTGTTTTAAGACACTATGTTTTGGGGATAATTTGTTATATAGTAAGGCATAAGTACTGTGCCTGAAGAATCAGGCAGCCAAAGTCTCATGGTTGGGGGTTGGGGAACCTTGCTCTTCCACTTAGCCTATGTAAACACCTTGATTTTCCATGAAGGTTAACTTAGCTTTGAGAGTCTATTTGCAAGGCCCGTCTCAGAGCCAAGGCTCTAAGCTCACCCAGTCACATGGCACTTTTTGGGTACCTGTGAGTATGCTAAAATTTTGTTTGCCTTGGGCCAAGAGATCTGTGGCTGTGATGGAGTTGCTTACCACAGCCTTCCTCAGTGTCAGGCTCTGCAGATGCAAGTGATTCTTGCAGAGCATCTTTCATCACTCATTTGCTTAGGTAACATATACTGAGCCCTTGACATCAAGGAGCTCATGGAGGAGACAGCAAGGCCAACATACCACAGATAATTACAATGAAATGATGTAGGGAAGATCAGGTAAACAACTGCGATAGAAGCTAGAAAGATGTAACTGCCAAAGACAGGAATGTGGTGTGAGAAAGAAAGGAGCAATTAATAAGTGTGGAGGTCAGGTGAGATGCCGTGAATGAGATGCGGTCTGAGTTAGATACTGAAAAAGAAGGCAGCTGACAAGTAAGAAAGTGGAACAATGGCATACCAAATAGAAAATCACTTGAATGAAAGCTCAGAGGTACAAGGCGGTCTGGGAATGCCAATATTCTAGTGTGACCAAAGCACATGGTCTCTAAAAGGGTGAAGAGGAATACAACCATGGAGGGCCTTGAACTGCATGTAATAAGCAGTGCTGGGACTGCAGGAGGAGCATCACTTGGGAGGCCAACTTAGTAGGTGGAGTAGGTGTTTTCTAGGTGGGAGATGATGAAAGCTAAATGGGGGCAGTGCTGACACTATGATTATATGAGTGGAAAAGGAAGGAAGGAAGTAGAACAAAAATATAGAAACAGTCTTAGAGCAAGAGCTAGTAACTTTAGACTTATGTCCATACAAATAATTATCAGAAGAAAAGAGGCATTCCATTGTGGTATTTAAAATTGCTTTATTATTTTTATTTTGAATGAAAAAACTGGAAGATATGGTCATGATTCTGAAGATCCTCTTCAAGTAGCAAGGGACTTACCTTTTCCAGTCTCATTCTCAAGCCAGTGGTTAAAAAAATCCCTTCCTCCCTCCAGAAATAAATTACTGGAGTTGTTACAGAAATACAGAGCAGAAAGCAGAAGTCTGTGGAAGGCCCTGTAGGTCAGCCCCTGGGCTTCTAGGAAATACTGTAAGAAAAGCTTAGTACTCACCATGTCCAGGATAGAGAGAGGACCAAGGCTGTTGACGGAGATCTCAACAGTGACCACAGTGGGCTTCTCTGTAAGATAAGCAGAAGCAGCAAAGGGTAAGTGTCAAACAGGGGCATGGGACAGGGGAGGAAGTAGTCAGAGGGGATGAAAGGGGAGTCAAGTAAGTGTTGGACCACACAGTTTCAGCATCTAATCCTATTTCTTTATTTGTTCTTTCATGGCAAAAGCAAGCTCATGGACTGTTAAGAATTGGACATACATCTTGAAGATCAAAAATCTAGTTTAGTCTTCTCATTTTACCATTGGAAAAACTGAGGGCAAGAGAGGGAAAAGTCTTGATCAAGGTCAATGACACTGCTGAGAATAGAGTTAATATCTCTTACCTGACAGGTCAACAGCAGATATTCCTGTCCATGTACATGGCACCTTCTGTTACTGCTCAGGTCCATTCTCCCTGCCTATACCCTCAACCCCTGGACCCTCTAAGGAGCGGAAGAACTTTGTTCTGCCACTCACCTCCAAGGCCAGGGCGCAGTTTGTGGTCATAATTACTCAGGATAGTGTTCAGGATGCGAGAGGCTTCTGGCAGTTTACCAGCTCTGCGCCCAGTCTCGGTCTTAGTTGACTTTGTTTCCTCAGAGAAGAGCTTATTTTCCAGAGGCTGGGGCGGGGGTCCATAGATGACATCATGGGCAGAGGCTTCATTCTTTGATTCAGTCTGAGGTCCCTCGACCCTAGAACATTCAAACGAAAAATGAAGCTCTGCCCTGCAGTCTGTAGGGGCCCCAGCTAGTGCTTCTTGGGACAGAAGCAAACCGAAACAAGTTTTCAACACAGAACTTAGTTAAATTGTGACTGGTAACAGCAAATTATAAGACAGTGACAGATTAGGCTTGTGAATTTCTTTTAAATCTTGCTGCTCTTTGGGGACTTTCTATGCTGTCCTTCTTTTATGATAACTCTTTTATTAAAAAAAAAATAAACAAAAGCAAGACCTAGATTTTAAAAGAATGTTCCACGTGAAATGAAGAGGGCATTTATGTCTGAGCGCTGGCCCACTGTGACTAGCCTTGGCCTCTAGTCAGCCTGACCAGCACCAACTGGGAGTGAGGAGCAGGCTGAGGGCCAAGGCTGAGAGGAATTCTTGCGAAAGCCAGAGTGGCCTCTCCCAGAGAGGACCAGAAAATTGTGGGAATATTTTGCAGTTTTGTTGGTTGTGTAATACTCGTTGCACTGGGGGCAGGGGAAGGAGATGAAGAGAAGGAGGCTAAAGAGCAGCCTTTGTGGGTGTCTAAACAGGAAAGGCAGGAGTCCTCCACCCACAGACAGCCATCCAGGAACTGACTGCCCAACAGGAGTTCACCCTGAGCTCCACAGCCATGCACCACAGCCAAGAAAAAGAAGAAGATTAGTAAGAATAATTGAATTAAACAAAAATGTTAAAGGCCATCTGCCAAAGTATGAAACTCACCGATGGTGTTAGAAGTCCGGATAGTGCTGCCTTTGCTGGGAGGCAGTGACAAAGGGGGCTTCTGAGGTCCTGCTCACGTTCGGGTTCTTGATTTGGCTTTCTTTACACCGCTGTGGTCATATTCTGACAACTCATCAACTGTACACTTATGATTTGAGCACTTTTCTGTATACATGTTCTAATTCCATAAAAACGTGTTGTAAAAAATCAAAATGCCCCACCTGCTAATATCTGGATCTCATTTTATTTAAAAGCAAACTCTTAAAAAACAAACAGAAATCATTTATGACATAACAGGAGAGATTTGAACACTGAGCGGATAGTTGAGGCATGAATAAATTATTCTTAAATTTTTGGTGTAATTATGGTATTTTCTTATGCTTGTGAAATCTTTAATGACTAGAAATACATACTAAAACAATTACATATAAAATGATATGATGTCTGAGATATGCTTCAAGACAATCTAAGTCGGAATTGGAGAGTGGGTGGGGTAAAAGAAAATAAGAGTGGCCATGAATTCACAAACAATGGGGGTGGGGATGGCTACATGGAGATTCCGTGTACTGTTCCCTCTGCCTTTATATGTCTTTAAAAAATATATAATTAAAAGTCTTTTAAAAAGCCATCATCCCATATTAATCTGTGATATTGAAAGGCAGGAGAGTGGTTTCCTTTGGGGAGGAAAGTGTACAGGGACAAGCATTTTGGAGATGTGTGTGTGTGTGTGTGTGTGTGTGGTAAGGGGATTGCAATGCTGTATTTCCTGATCTAGGTGTTGGTTACATGGGTCTGTTTACTTTGTGAAAATCCACTGAGCTGTTCACTCATGATGTCTATGCTTTTATACTGGCATGTCATACTTCCAAAATGTTTTTTTTTAAGCCATAAGGCAATTTGTTTCCTAAAATAAGGGGTAAACAGGGCAAGAGACATTGGCATGATCCCTGTATTGCAGACCAAGGGACTGCCAACTTGGGCAGCAAAATGCATTTTTCTGCAGTATTTCAAGCTGTTAGAATTGCTTAAGTGGCATACAGATGTGCCAAATCCACACCATTTCTCATGTCTGAAGTGGCTACTTCCCATTGTGGGCTGGGGAAGAACTGGACTTCGAAAATACAGTTTCTACTTTCAAATGCCATATTTAGAAGATGTCTTCTTTTCCTGAGGCCAAATTCCCAGCCATCTCAAAAGATAAGGGCCAGTGACTATGGGAAGTGAGGAGGGAAAATGGAGACCTGAGACCCTGCAAAATAAGTGATGTGGCTGGAAACATGGCACAATCAGAACCGGCAGCAGTGGTAGACTGAGCACTGCCAGACAGGACCACCTAAAAGCCTGAAGCAGCCCCTCCCAGATGTCTGAAATCCATGGACAAGATCCTCCCAGCTGCCCCATGTTTAAAAGTGCAGAGGCAAACAGATAAACCCGAAAGCACCGAGACCACCAAATCCCTCCTGCCCCTAGACTAGGTCTGCAATGAAAATGATAGCAGAGGGTCATAAGGTGGCTTTAATCCTAAAATTGGCTTTTGCCAGTTAAAAACAAACAAACAAACAAAATAAAACCTCATCCTGAGGTCTTTGGGGTTAAAGAGCTGCTGACAATGCATACCTTTCCCCAGTCAGCCATTAAGCTCACTTTCGGGGCTAGAAAGAATAAAAACTTGAAAAACACTCATACATTGGAATAGTGGAATTTTCCAGGGGAGTTTTTCAGGCATTCACATGTCTCCAGACACAATGGTCCAGCATGAAGTTGAATCTCTGCACTACCCCCTCCCAAACAGTCGACTGCTGGTGTCGTGAGAAGTGGGGTGGGGGTGGGGGGCATAAGAAAAGATGTTGGATTTTTATCTAAATCAGATCTCTTTTTCATTATACAGATGAACCAAGTGAGGCCCAGAGAGAGGAAGGACTGTGCCCCAAGTCACACAAATAATTTGAGGCTAAGCCTGGACCAGAGAGAGGTCTTGTGGTTCACTGTGGCCCAGTACACCCCATTGTCACCTCCCCAGCTCTTTCCTAGCACCACAGGTTGCTATGCTTGAAGAGTAGTTTCCATTTCCCCAGCCCCCTTTCCCTGCTGTTTTCCTCTCTGACCCCCCCCCCACTTCTTATTTCCCCCATCCCAGAGCCATCTTTTGCCCTAGCCAGTCACCATGTCAGCTTTCTCAACTAGTCCAAATTCCATTTGGAGGGATGTGGATGACTGGAAATTGCTAGCACGCATAGAAAAACATTTACCAAGCCCTTGCTGAGGCTAGCCCCACTCCAGGGCATCAGTGAGCCAGCAGGGAGCCACACATCCCCTTCTCTGAAGAGCTAACGCAATCTCGGGTAGGGAAAGAAGTCACCCCCGCTCCCCACAACAGATAAACAAGACACAAGCCCAGTGCCATGGAAACTTCAAGAAAGCTCCACAGATCAGGAAGCTTGCAAACTTGTGACACTTCACACCCAGCAGGAACCATCTCAAAACAACAACAACAACAACAACAACAACAACAACAACAACAAAACGAAGCAGTCATCTTCCACCCCAAAAAGCGAGAAATCTAGGGGACAACCTTCCTAGCCAAGTCTCAGGGCGAGGAGAAGGTGTGAGGGAAGATGGTTGTTCAAGGGAAAGCTGAAAAGGGAGAAGGGGATTGAAATCTAGGACCCAAACCACAGACTTCAGAGAATAATATTCCTGGCCTCTGGCTCCAGTCTACCCAAGGCCCAGCAGGGTGTCTAGGGATGAGTTAAGGAAGGGGGAGGCTGTCAGCAGTGGGGAGGGGTATAGCTGGTGCGGGAGCCCTTAGACTAAACCAAAGCTCCTGCCTGAGACTGGCACCAACAGGAGCAGCGGCATGGGAAGCAAGGAAAGTCAGAGTTGCCTGGCGCAGTGCCTGGAACTCAGTAGGCACTCTTAAAAAAATGTGAGCAGCAGAGAACAGACGAGGCAACACTTACACATTTTTGGCGCAGTTAAGCTCCCTCAGCCCGCGCACCGCCTTCTCGAAATGCACCCCCGACCCCCTAGTAGCTGAAGCCTGCCCTGGCCGGTCCCCCCCGGGGCTGCTCCCCTGTTCCTGCGCAAGACTCCTAGAAGGAGTGCTTGTCACCAGGCCATCGCAGTGCTTCTGAGAGCGGGAATCCGAGAACGGGGGTCCCGTCTTCCTTTTGGAGATCCCCTTCAAGGACCCCGGGAATCCATCCTACAGTGAACCGGGCGGAGGCTGGCGCGCATCGAGGGCACGCAGTACTCAGCCAGCCCGCGCTAGGGCCGGGGCAAGGCGGGCGCGGGGCTCGAGGAACGCGGGGCCGCAGGGATCCCAGGAGCCGTCCCTGCTCCCAGGGAGAGGGGGCTGGGCGCGAAGGGCTCCCGGGTCCCGGGATGGAGACTCACCTCGACTGAAGGATCAATAAGATGCCTAGGAGGACTGGAAGAACTTTGGACAACATTTCCGCGGAGACGGGAGCGACCACCTGTGCGGAGGTCGCGGTTCACGGTCTGTACGCACTGAGCGCTGTGTGGAGGGTTTTGCTGGGCTCCAACTTTCACTCCTCCCACTCGCCCCGCCCCGTCCCGCGCTCCCCGCCCCGCGCTCCCCGCCCCAGGCCCGCCCCCAGCCCCGATGGAAATCTCCGACGACGTGACGGCTGCTGCCGTGGGGAGCGGGGGAGGCTCGCGCGGGCGCTGGTAGGAGGCGGGAGCCCTGTTGCTGCGGCCCCCAGTCCCCCCGCCGCCACTGCAGCACTGCCAGACAGCCAGGGGCGGGGGAGGGGGAGGGAGGAGGCGGCGAGCCACCGGCGCACGGCCTGGGCGGAGGAAACTCGCGGCCCCACGCTGTGGCCGGCAGGGAGCTGCTTCAGGGACAAGATGCGGGGCTGGATGTGCTTACGCCCCAGAGGCGACCCCCTCCTGCCCGTTGGCGCGCCGCGGGGTCAAACTGTGCTCTCCAGCCGTGGCTTCCTCCCCGCCACCTGTTGCACCCCATTGCTTCCCCAAGTCTCCTGGCTTCAACCTAGCTGCCTCTCTGGTTTTCCCAGCTCTCAGCCCACAATCTTCAGTCTTTCGAAATACAAGTCTTGTCGTATAAAGGAAGCCGGGTAACTCAGCACCTTCCTTGGCATACGGAAGAAGAGAGACAGGGGTCTCCCCAGCAAGCTCTGATGTGAGGTACTCCACAGGGCAAATTCCCAGGTATTTGGGGGCAGGGAGGACCCGCCAACAGAGGACCCGGCAGAGACATTCACTGGAGAATTTTCTCTGAACCCCAAGAGGACACTGCCACAATGTGGCTCCCGCTTTGGCCCCAGACGCTGAATGTGAGAGGGACCACCTGGAATAGAGGAGGCTTTGGAAACCTCCTTAAGACTGGATGGCCGAATCTTTCTGGAGACTTGGCACCAGGTGATAGCAGAAGACATGAGAAGGCACAGAGAGGGAAGGGGCAGTGCCCCTCTTCAGGGGAGACATGTCAAGAGTCTCAAGCATACTTGGACTTCATCTTCTTTACCTAGATCCTTCTGATTTGCTTCAGAAAGAGAAGGAATGACAAAGATTTGTGTACCAAGCTGGTGCCAGACACTAGCAGCATCCTCACCTGTTGCTCTAGAAAGGGCTGTGTGCATCCTTGAAGAGGCTTAGCTCTATCACACTCATCTAAAACACCCTCTTCACCACCCCACCTCCCAAGCATATCACTCTGCTTTGTGCTCTTCACAGCACTGCTCACTCATTGATGATTTTCTTGGGCATTTTTTTTATGAGCTTGTTTACAGTGGGTCTCTCCTACTGAAGTAAGCTCAGTGACAAACACACACATGCATACACACAAAATATGTCTTGTTGGGGTCTCCACTGTATCCCTAAGACTTAGCAGAGCTCTGGGCACACAATAAGCACTCAACCAAATATGTCACTGATTTATGTGCAGCTGTGTGTGTCCTACTACCACTGAGTCAGTCCACTAGGACCTGGGGCTGCCTTCAGACTATGGTGCAAGAGAGAAGAGACTGCAGGAGATGTTTAGGCTTGCACAGATCCTCACTCTCGCCCCCCGACATGCACGGAAGAGCCCCATACTTTCTTTCATGCGTTGCTGCTGAAATTTTTAATAACTTTTGAACAAGTGGCCCTGCATTTTTATTTTTTCCTGGGCCCTGCAAATTATGTAGCCAGTTTTGCCCTAGGGAAAAATGCTGCAGAGCAGGGAACAGGCAAACAGGCGGCTTTGCTGAGCCCATGAGGAAGAGAAGGCTGCCAGTCCTGTCCAACACCAGACTGCTATGGAGAGGAGCATGTCTGCCCTTAGTGTAGCCAGCCTGGGATTTGTAGTGTCCTATATGCATGTCTCTTCCTCCACTGACATTGGAAGTCCGGGAAATGAAGGTTTTTCTGATTTACCTGTATTCCCCTGGATTGAGCACAGTGCCCAATGAACAGTAGGCATTAATTACATTTGCTGAATGAACTACTGAATCCCAGGCAGACAAAGGAAGCAAGTGATTACAGCTCACTCATCAGAGAATCCCAGGCACTTTTCTCTTACAGGTTGATCTTAATCATACTTTGCCATCTTCCTTATAAACCTCATCAAAGGGGTAGCTCATCCATAGGATAGCTGTGAGGATTTGTGGAGGCTACAGAATGTTATTATTATTTTGTAGTTTCCCAAGTATTTGCCACATGCTTGTCTAGATCAGGTCATCGACTTTATGATAGAGGAATATACAGCAAGGACTCAGATGATGTCTTGGCCCTTACATATGTTTTTCAAGAGAGGAGTGGGAACTTTTTAAAAAAAATTTATTTATTTATTATTATTATTATACTTTAAGTTCTAGGGTACATGTGCATAACGTGCAGGTTTGTTACATATGTATACTTGTGCCATGTTGGTGTGCTGCACCCATCAACTCGTCAGCACCCCTCAACTCGTCATTTACATCAGGTATAACTCCCAATGCAATCCCTCCCCCCTCCCCCCTCCCCATGATAGGCCCCGGTGTGTGATGTTCGAGGAGTGGGAACTTATGGTAAAATTAGTAAAAAATTACTAACTCAAGGTACAAAGTCATGAGGACCCCAGAGTTCCGAGGAAAACACTTACATGGTCCCGAGCCTCTCAAAGCAAGAGGAGGGTGTTATAGGCAGCAGAGGTGCAGAGATGGACATTCCAAGTTGAGAGCCAGCCAGGGTGTTGAAACCAGATATGTGTGGTGTCTGACAGAAAACAAGGAGGAGATTGCCTGAGGCATTTGTGAAGAGAAATTTTTGGAGATAAAGCTGGAGTGGGAGGTTGGACAAGCAATTGCACTTTATCTGTGGGCAAGAGGGGAGTTGCAGACGAGTACCAAAAGGGGATATTTTATGTCCAAATGCTGTTTCAAAAGATCCCTCTGGTGGTGGTAGGCAGGAGAGTTTGCAGGATGGAGAGTTGGAGCCTCTTTTCTCCCAGCAAACAGGATCAGAGCCACAGGGATGGTCAGAAGAGGAGCCACAGGAGGGAGCAACATCTAAGATGTGGAATTGACAGATGGAGTTGGGGAGGAGGCAAAGGAGGGAGGTTTGTTGGAGAAGGCTCACAGGGTCTTCCCAGGTGACCGGGGTGGCAGAACAGAAATAATGAAGGCAGGAGGAGGAGAAAGAGCTTTTATTTACAGCCATGATAGCAGCTCCCTGCATTTTGCATTTCACTTTCTAAAGTTCCATTAGAAATAAACATTCTCATTTGGTGTCTAGGTATGTGTATGTGTGTGTGTGCATGTATGTGCAAGCACACCCCTCTCCCTGGCTGTTGGTACTTCAGATGTGCTTCTCTTCAACTAGATATTGAAGCTGAATATAAACAAAACTGTTAGTAGAGCAGCTGTATTTTCATAACTAAACCAACTACCCATTGATCAGAATAGCAGTGAGCAAGCCCCTTGTCAGTTGTGAATTATCAAATTAAATAACCAACATCAAACCACCATGTGACCTGCTATATATGTGATTTAGGGACAAAACCAGAGTTGCTGGTCATAAAGTCTGTGTGTTTGTGCCCTAGCATGGCCTAAACTGTAGCACGTGCACACATGCTTTTCTTATTAGGTCAAGGAAAAAATACCAGCCCAGACAAATCTTACATGACTCTTAGCTTGTTAAGTTCCTGGGCTTGCAGCAAGACCGAAATGCCAGGGACACTGGGGGAGGCAACTAAAGAAAGAACTATGTACAGGGCTAAGCCAAGTGCAGAAGTGGATGAAGGAGCAAGCAGGGGACAACCAGGCTTCAAAGCAGATAGACTAACAGTGGAGGCAGAGGCAGTACACGGTAATGACCAGACCTCTGTGCTCCACTGCACACAGGGCACAGTTTGAATTTCAGATCATCCCCTAACTACTGGCTAAATGACTAGGAGCAAGTTCCTTAAAGCCCATGAACCTCATATTACTCATTTGTAAAATGGAAATTATAATACTTCCTACCTCACGTGGCACCTGTGATGATTCAATGGCAAAGACCAGGTAAAGCAGTTAGCACCATGTCTGGCACACGGTCAGTACTCAACAGAGCTTACCTGCCATTCTCAACATTATTATAATTATCTAATAACTGATAAATGACCATGCAGGCATACTTGGTATCCTTGAGGTCTTGAATAACACCAGGAAGTATCTGGCCAAAGAGCAAGACCTCAGGCCTAGGCATACACTGCAGAACAAGGGCTCATGTCCCAAGGTGGTTGAAATGCTGTGGACAAAACAGGATTCTAGACCTCAGGAAACTGGACCACTGTGAGCACCGCAGGCTGGTGGCACCAGGCTATAAGGGAGGAGAGAGGCATGACTGGGGGTGGAGATTGACACATGGGTGGCATTCAAAACCATAGAACTGGATGCAGTCACCCAGGGAGAGATAAACAGGCTTAAGCTTGATTCCTGAGAGGGGTGTCACAGAAGCCAGCACAAGGGAGGGCATTTCTTGTAGACTGGTGGTTTTAACCATGTGTTAATACGTCAAGGACTGAATGGTGTCCAGTGGATGACTCAACAAGGAGGTCATTGGTAAGCTTTGGGCAGGGGCTGATCCTCAACACAGAGTTGAAGGGTGTGTGGGATGGACAGGTAAGAGAAAAGAGTGTATGACTGTATACAGCTTGCTTGAGAAGTGGCTTGAAAGCAGTGAGAACTGTGACTGTCTCTGACACCAAATACAGGGAGAGAGGCTTAGTGCAGGGGCCATGTCTGATTCTGCTCTGAGCCCGAGGGTTTTAGAGAAGGAGAGAAAGATATTTAAGGAGAATGCCAATAATGCTGGCAAATGCTGTTGGTTGAGAATCTTGAGATCTGGAAAGTGTCTGCTCTGAGGGGTGAATGTGTGAGGAGGATGTGAAGTCAGCAGGTATAGACAACTCCTCAGGAAGCTCAACATGAAGGAAGACACAGTGCAACAGCTAGAGGGAGGCAAATATTTGAAGCATTTTGATTTTTGTGTTTTACAGATGCATGAGACAGAAACATGTTTATAGGCTGAGAGGGAGAAGCCAATTGAGGGGGAGAGGGTG